ACGACTAATTTCTAAACATAGAAGCTTTTCAAATACAATTAATTTCTAAACCTAGAAGGTTTTATGATACAACGTCCTGATCTGGTTTTATAGTCACTATCGGGAAGAGAATTTACTTCAGTCTCACTAAATCTTGATTTGGTTTTATAGTCACTATCGGGAAGAGAATTTACTGCCGTCTCACTAAATCGCTCACAATTTTCACGCCCAATTGACTCACGAACTTCACTATCTGACATTACCGGATTACCAACGGAGAAGTCACAACCAGTTCCATCATCATTAAAAGAATTATTAACTGACTTATGACTAAGTTTTACATGATTGGGATTTGCTTTTATAAATGATGAGTTTCTTCTAATGACCTGGTCCAAATCCTCTCCAACCCAATATGACCTTGGAGCTTCATGCTTTTTAATGACTTTCCCTGGAACCCAATGCCTATCTTTTTTAATCATGATATCTTCTCCCTCAGAAAACGATGCTCTTTCATGAGCTTGTCTATCATAATAGGATTTTGCTTTAAGACGTTTTTCTCTAATCTTGTCAAGATCAATTACTGGTGTTTCAGTTAAAAGTTTGTTAGAAATAGGCAAACTTGTTCTTAATATCCTTTTGTTAAGAAGCTCAGAAGGAGAGACATTTAGACCAGTCAATGGAGAAGTTCTATATTCTAAAAGGGCTTTATACAAATCATTTTCAGAATCATTGCATTTTCTCAAAATGCCTTTACAAATGCCAACAGATCTTTCACTCAATCCATTCGATTTTGGATATCTCGGGCTAGATGTACTTAACTTTATGTCCCAACTTTTAGCAAAATTCTTAAAAATCTTACTGTTAAAAGGTTGATTATCAGATATAAAGTTTGATGGTATGCCATGAGTCGAAAAAATCACTTTAAGTTTGCTGATAACCTCTTCTGCAGTTTTATTTTGTAAGGGAACCAACTCTATCCAATTACTGAAATAATCAATTAAAGTTAAGTAATCTATACCAGCATAGGTTAATATATCTGCGGCCACCTTCTGAAACGGAATATTTGTTCTTTCATGTTGAATCATTGGCTCTTTGGGAACATTACGACTAAACTTTAAACATGTTTTACACTTTGACACAAAATCCTGTACATCCTGAGACATTCCGGGCCAATAGAATATCTTTCTAGCTCTAGCTTTGGACTTTTCGATGCCAAAATGTCCAACATGCAACTTATTTAACATTATCAGTCTTAATGACTTTGGAACTACAAGCTTAAAATTATGAAATAACAGCTCATTATACACGTGTAAATCAGTTTTACATTTAAAGAAAACTTTAATTTCAGGATTCACAATATGTTTTTTATCAGGCCAAAAGTTTGACAAAATTCTATAACTTGCTTTAAGACAAAATCTTTTTTAGTAGCAGTTCGTAATTCTTTTAACCTTTCTTCTGAAATAGGAATATCAAATTCAAAATCATGAACTATTTCTTTCATCTCATTGTCATCTTTAACTGGCACTTTGAGATATGACCTGGACAAAAGATCTGCAATGTACATATATTTACCAGGTAAGTATTGAACATCAATGTTGTATTTAAGCATTTTAAGTTTTAATCTTTGCAGCCTAGAAGTTACTTTACAAATATCTTTTTTATGAATAGACACCAGCGGTTTATGATCTGTTTTCACAACCACCTTACGACCATAAACAAAATGATGAAATTTCTGCAGACCAAATGAAATTGCAAGATACTCTTTCTCAATCTGAGCCCACCTCGACTCAGTATCTGTCATGCTACGAGAGCAAAATGCAACTGGCCGACCTTGCTGCATTAGGCAACCCCCTATTCCACTTTGACTAGCATCAGTTTGCATTTCTATAGGTAATTTTGGGTCAAATATTTTAAGTACCGGGATTTCTGACGCAACACTTTTTATTTTTTTAAATGACTCTTGGTGATCCTTTGTCCATTGCCACTCTACATTTTTTTTTATTAAATTTCGCAAAGGTGATAAAATTTCAGAAAGTTTGGGCATATATTTTGATAAATAATTGAACATTCCAAGAACCCGCAACAATTCTTTCCTATTTGTGGGCTCTTCAAGCAACAGTACTGCTTTAACATACTCAGAATCAGGTTTAACACCGTCAGCTGAGAATATTTGACCAACATAACTGATTTCATGAACTTTGTATTGAACTTTCGACTTGTTAAACTTTACTCCAAACTTTTCTGCTCTTCTCATCACCTCTTTTAGGATTCTATCATGTTCCTATACAGAATTGCCTGCAATTACGAAATCATCAAAATAGATTCCTATGGGCAAATCTCCAAACAGTTTCTCATTCATACGCTGAAATACTTCAGGGCTTACATTAAGCCCAAACGGCAACCTATTGAAACAAAATTTTCCAAACGGTGTTATGAAAGTACAAAGTTTCCTACTATCAGAATCAAGTGGAACATGATAGAACCCCTCTTTCAAATCAAGTACCGTGTAAATTTTTTTATCTTTTAGTTTTAATGCCAACTCATCCACTGTAGGTATTGGAAATTGGTCCAAACACACATATTTATTTAAAAACATTGGGTCAAGACAAATGCGTAGGGCCCCTGATGGTTTTTCTACTATTACAATATTATTAACCCATTCAGTGGGTCCCTCAACTTTTGAAATAATTCCTCTAGCTTCTAAGTCAATTAAAGCTTCTTTAAGTCTTGGTTTTATTGCCTCAGGAACCCTCCTGCATCCACTACTTACAGGTTGAGCCTTTTTTTCTAAAACAATCCTATATTTGAAAGGAATCTTACCCGTTCCTTCAAAAACATCATTATATTTTTTAATGAACAATTCTTTTTCCTTATCTAAACTTACAGTGTCTACCAAAGAGTCCATCTTTTTAATTAACCCTGTTTTGACACAAGCTCTTAACCCTAAAATTGGCATTGTATTATTGCTATCTATAACAATAAACTTTATCTTATAATTAACATTTTTTACTAGGCAGTCTAAAACAATAAAACCCAAGGCTTGAACTTTGTTATTGCCATAAGTGTTTAGTGATAAAGTATCTCTAACAATTTGGTCTGCTACATTTAACTTTTCAATAAAAAATAATGGAAGGCAATTGCAATTTGCCCCTGTATCGAGCTTGAATGTTATAAATTCATTATTAATCAAGATATCAACAGACCGAAAGTCTTTATTATGTCTGGAGGAGTGTCCAAACTTACCTACACTGTCCAAAACAATGGAATCGATGTAGGGAGCGTTTCCACTGTCGTCTGAGTCAGAATCATGATGGACAACTTCTTGAACAGTCTTCTTTTTTTGTTTATAATCATGAGGAGCATTTTGACGATTTTTGTTTCTTGCTTGCTTATTTTTGCATCCTACAGCAAAGTGATTCAGGGATCCACAACTTGCACAACTTTTTCCAAAAGCTGGACATTGTCTAGGTCCATGCTTCCTACCACATTTAAAACAGTCATAAAAACTAGTGCTTTGACTACCAGTAGCATTTTCCTTTCTGAATTTAAATGAATCCACTTGTTCGTTTCCTCTAATGCCTTTCATTTGTAATTTACTGAGCTCTGCTGCTCGACATTCAGATTCTGCCCTTTTGAGCGTTAAATTTCCAGTACGTAGCAGCCTTTCTTGCAGATCCATATCTCGAACGCCACTGACAATTCTGTCTCTTACTAAACTGTCTTCCAGTGTGGTAAAGTTGCAATTTTTTTGCCAGTATTTTAACGTCTGTTAAAAAATGGTCGAATTCTTCATCTTCTTCCTGAATTCTTTTAAAAAATTTAAACCTATCATAGGTTTCATTTCGTAGAGGTTTGCAGTGAACTTCAAATGCCTCAACCACAGTATTATAAACTTTTCTTTGAGCCTCTGTCAACTTTAAGGTTGCAAAAATATCCTGCGCCTCGTCTCCCGCCACATTAAGGAAAATTGCAACTTTGGTTTCCTCATCTTTTGCATCAAACCCAGACGCCTTCATATATATATTAAAACTGCTTATAAATTTCTCAAAATTTTTTGCAATGTTGGCATCAAACACCAACGACTTAGGTGGCTTAAAGTTACCTGCCATTTTTTGCTGACTTTCTTCACAATTTCGCTGAATTTCGCACTTCCTCTAGCTCCTTCTTATTTCAGTTTTCTAACCTGACACCATGTTACAAGCTTACACAGCAGGTACAACGCAGGTTATTTAATAAACACTATATTACTTTTAAATGAACTTTATTATTTTATTATGGTTTATTTATTATCAATCCAGCACCCTCCAGCCTGTGTGTGTTGGAGTGCGTCCTGCTCGGCATCAGCTGTCTTGTGTCAGTGACGTAACCACTGATGATCCCACATTCAAAACACACAGGACCAGCTTTATGTTACAACTTGTTAGTGAATAATCGTCAAGAGACTGAAACTGTCGGTAGCATGAGGATTTGTTTTACAATTTTTGTAGTGACTTGTAAAACTTGTTGAAGAGGTAGAAAAGAAGTAATCTTAGGAACCATTTAAAAAGGAAACAAGTGCAGAGTGCACTCGGTTCCATTTGTCCAAGGATTTTGCAACTATGGCTGTGAGTTTCCTGAAAGAAAGACCAATCTCAAATTTATACCAATTCTATATTTTTTTATTTACAACAATTACAGCACATCTATATTATATTATGGTTTAAATTTTAGTTTATTGTTGTTGGGTTTACTGGCAATCAAAGGACTAGCATGTTCGAATCCTCTTTATGAACGACATATCAATAAATAATTAACCTTATCAAGCTTGTCACAGAACTATTTGGTTGTTTTATGTAAACATTATAACACCACTATTGGTTATTACTTGTTCCTGTTCTCTTAAGCTTGATAAAAGTAAAAATTGCTTAACAAAACATCATTATAAAATAAATAAGCTTCTATAACATGTAAGTTCTTCAATCCTAAACCTCAAAAAATTAAATTTATTTTAATAATAGCATCATAATAAATAAAAGTACTTTTTAACTTCGTTGCCTTTCATGATTCCTTCTGTGACGATACTCCCTGTCTTTACTTCTGTCATCCTCATCTTTCACCCTAATCCTATCTCTCGACCTCGACCTTCTATTTTTTTCTTCTTTTACTCTATCATCTTTTCCTCTAGGTCTTTCAAATGCTCTCCTTCTATCCTTCAACTGACTAATATTATCTTCGTATCTACTTTTGACCCATTCATAATCCCTTCTTCTGTCTTTATTTTGGTCATTATATCTGGACCTTTCCCGGTTTTCCCTTTCTTCTGAATTATTTCGTTGCTCTCTTCTTCTAGATTGTTTACGATAATTTTCTTCATCTTCTCTAGAGCTTCTTTTGTTAGTTTCATCTCTGCTAGTCCTCTGTGTTTTATCTCTGGGTCTTTCTTGTGATGATTTGGATATTTTCTGTTTATCTTTTTTCTTTGTCTTCTCATCTTCCGATTCCTCATCACTTGAATCTAAAATATTGAAATGTAAAATAAATAATCTAAATCAAATCAGTCTTTGAAACAAGTAGATGGAAAAACTGTATACTGGTTTGAAATCAATGACATCAAATAAAAGAAAATTTTGAATCACCTGAACTACTACTATCTTCACTGGAACTGGAAGAAGAACTAGAGCTGCTTTCCTCTTTAGTCACTGTTGGCATGTTCTTTGGCAAATTTTTCAAATGCTCTCTTAATTCATCAGTCAAACCACCTAACCCAATTGAGGTGAAAAAGTTAATTGAAAACCTAGTGTTCTTTGGATTATCTCTTGGAAACAGTTCGGCAAAATGTCCTTGAAGTGTCCTAAAAAATTGTTCTTGAATATTGAGAAAAATTAATTACAAATAAAAAAGTAACATACGGATCCTTAAGTCTTTGATTCAACTTTCCCAATCCCATATATTCAGCCAATTCTTGAAACAAAATTTTAATGAAAATTCTGCTAGAACTATTAGTGTCTTCCTCATTCATTTTCATGGCTTCTAAACATTCCCAACTAATTGCGTCTGTGAAAAGTAAATGCGCAAAGAATTTGCTCACATTTCTCAGCCTATTAGCGTCCAATCGGTGAGTTGTTGAATAAGTGTCCTTGAAAATTTGTTGAAACGGTTCGACATAGGTTTTATTTATTTGACAAAATCTTTGGGCTAATAGCCCATAGAATTTTTCATAGGTTCTTTGTTCGGCGCAGCAATCTGTGAAAAAAGTACACAAGCATAACATTTGCAATATATCAGCTAAATCTTTTTTTACCCAAGAACATATGACACAGCTCAATTTCCTGACCAGGTTTTAGCTCCATTTTCAGTAGCTTATGGGCACATTCTTCAAAATCCAAACTCGATTGAATAGTCAAATAAATAGTTCTTCTTAGTGCTATCAAATTTGTCTCGGTGTTGTCAATAATAGTGCCCTGATCCTTTTTTACTTCCTCCTCTTCATCATCTTCGTCACTATCTTCATCCGAATCCTCTTCCGAACCTGATTCTCCCGATCCCGATTCTCCATCACTTTGTAAAATTTCTTTGCTTAAAATTTTGTATTTGCCTTCATTGATTTGGTAGTCATCATCAAACTTGAAGACATCTGAAAATAACCACTTATTTATTGACAAGAGACGAACATAATATCGACTGCAAGGAAACTTTTTGAGGTAAGTAACAACGATACAAGCGCTTAAACGCATAAAAAACTGCTAATGTTGACAGTGTTGTAATTAATATACCCTATCACTAGTGTAAAATACAAAATTGTATTTACATATGATTTACTACAAAAAAAAACTAAATTAGATGTTATCTAAAAAATTTCTGTTTATTATATCGGGTCTTCAAAAAAAAACCAATCAAAGATTGCTTTGGTTACGAAAACGTACGTCGCATTATTGTTTGTTTATTGGTCAGGATTTTTGACATGACATTTTGACATTAAATTTCATTGACTGACAATGTCAAAATTAAAGAAAAATATTGCTAAGACGTACGTTTAAAAAACCATAGCAATCTTTGATTGTTTTTTTTTTTGAAGACCCGGTACTATTTGGTATATAACACAAGTTGATATAGTAGGCATTCGTGTCACAAATGTGTCACATTTCATTCACAACCTTTTCCCATTTTTTTTTTGGCTCAATTTGTGAGGAATTTTCTAGTCCAAATTCACGACTTTTTGAATTTTCCAATTTGAGGCTTTAGAATTTTCTCTATGTTTCTATTAGAAAAAGAAAAACATAATAAAAATTTAGGAATCCGAAATAAACAAGAATTGAGAATGAACAGATAAAAAATAAGAAAAACAGAAATTTTTATAGGAACTATAGTAACAGTCATTAGGTTAGAAAGGAGTGCAGAGAATCCAGTGGAACAGTTTCATGCTTTATTGACGCGCGCTTTTTATAGGGCTTCTCCCTTCTCCTCTACAATATCTTAAAGTTAAAGATAAAAAGCTTTGGATTACCTGTAGTATAAAGGCCTTATCAAAAAATTCAAGATAATGTGTTCTAAGCCATGTAGTGAGCAACAAGAGGTGCAAAACTCCATTCATCGAGAATTGGATGAAAAAAATATCTAATTAGCTCTACTTGAGGATGCTGTTGAAAAGCTGAAGACTGAAGCCAGACATAAAGACGCTGACTACAAGCGGAAAGACTCCGACGACCAAAACCAAATTTCGGAACTCTGTAATGAAATAGACGCACTTAAACTCGATCGAAAGTACAAAGACATTCACATAAAACGGCTCGAACGCGGCTCGCGCGTCTTTAATGAAGAAGCTAAAGAAATGGAAAAGCGCAGCAATATTAAAATTGCAGAACTCCAAAGTTTATAGAGGAACTTAAGGTAAGCTTCTGGAGGAAAAACATATTGAGCAACAGCTTCGAATAGATCGGGCTTGACAAGAAACAGATCTACATACCAGCCAACGATTGACAAAGGATATGGCGATCAAAATTAACAACCTGGAATTACTAAATAACGAGTTCAATCAATATGCAATTTCTTCAAAAGTAGCTTGATTCTTACGTTGAGGGCGGGCCAAAGCTAGGACCCTGCACCTCGAACACCAACAAAATAACACAAAAAGCTCCTAAACCGCTATCAGATACGAATAGACGCTGCCGGAGGCAAAGCGCCGCAGGCGCGAAATTTGTGGGTGCCACGCCCCTTTTTTAGGTTTCTTTACGCTATTTTTGGGACTGTTTATTTTAATTTTGAAGAATTATTCATAAAATTTAAGGGTCTTGGGGGGGAGGGGGCAATTGCCCCCTTGCCCCCCCCCTGGCTACGCCAGTGGCACAAACTCCTTATTCGATCCGATGAGCATGGAAGGAACCTAGACCGAAATATCCGCAAACATTTGGATTCAGCAGTGGTCAAAATTGAAGCACTTATTAAACCGGGAGCTCATTATAATAGTGTTTTGACTGGGTTAGAATCTTAGATTGTATACAGGCACACCTAGATAGGCAAAGCATTAAAAATAAATACAGCCAAGAAGGGGTCACAGTCTAAGCCCATGTCTTATACCAAGTATGCACTGATACATTGGATACCTAGAAAAACCTGAAGCGATTTTTTTTAAAACAATTTGATTGGTCAGCACTTGTCAACGCGTGTTTATTTGGTTTATGTGGGAATCAGCTTTTAAGTGGGAATCAGCTTTTAAGGGCGTGCGTAAAAATTTTGTGCCGTAGTAACGGCTGATTTTCGATTTGTTGTTTTGTGATTTTGTTCTCGCGTTTTATTGTGATTTTAATGATTATGAGCTCTGTTTTCTATTCAAAAAAATATTAAATTTAACACATGTGGAGAATCATGCTTCAGCTGTGCCTGGTTTGTGGAAAAAATAATGCGGATTTCCTAACCTTTTCTCTACAGGTAAGTGGAATCAGTGGCGCACCACCTGTACTTGTTATTTATTGTATTATCTGTTACAGAGTTCCAGCCGTAATCTAATTCCGGTTTCAGGAGAAAAACTTCGATGAAATTTCATTGAAATGGAATAAAACATTATGGCAAATCTCAGGCGTCGTTCGTTCACAATCAGAATGGAGCTTTACGAATAATAAAAATGTGTAGGTACCTACCTGTATGTACCTATTTAATTTACCTAATTATTTTGATAGATAAGATAGAAAAAGAGCAGTTTGATTAATTATTATGTAAACAATGTATCAATGAAAAGAACAAAATTATTATTCTTCAATCCCATTTACTTGATTGAAATAAAATATTACATATTAATTTGCTTACGAATTATTGTAGTTGATTTCTATAATTTTAAGCAAATAAAGCTTAATGTACTTACCTACTTGATATAATTTTAACTAGGTAGGTGTCAAAAAAATAGCATCAAAGTTGAATTCAACAAGAATTGTATACTTATGTTTGTATATTATAATATTTTGTTAGTTTCAGATTTCAGATACGTGTGTGTGAATCAAAATTTATTGTTTGTATCATTTGAAAATAAATTGGCTTTATATCATTGTTGTTTTATTGAAATTAATGCTCATGCAAGAAGAATCAGGTAGGTATAGAATTTTTCAAATTTTAAGAAATAACTCAAAAGTTAATGTTTTTGCGTTAAAAAATGCCAATAGTATGTATATGTAGTCAGAACAGTAAACAAAAAACATTTTTTACTCCCACTTTTGGACTTATGTGAAAATACATTTTTTTAAATCTTGATAGGCAGGCGAAAGCGAATGAAATATTTTGTCAATTGTGTTTTTTTTTTTTAATTTTAAAATATATTTTGATCCGACCGATGCTCCGCTAATGATCGCTTTCGTCGGGCCGATCACAGTCTAAGTGTTGAGCACATGTCCACAAACTTGTGGAATAAATAAACAAACCCATTCATAAAAACGTTGAGGGGCGTTGAGGGGCTTTGTTGATGTTGGCCGAAACATTTGGGTGTTTTATGAATGACTATGCGTATCTAGGTGTAGCCTGTATATAATCTAAGGTTAGAATGCTGTATAAAAAACTACAGTAGGCACGATTGTGTTGTCATTGTTGCCGGATTAAATGACTTTTTAAATAACAAAAGACCAAAATTCAGTATCATTCATGAAATGATAAAAAAGTGCTCTCAAACAAATTTCATATTTTTGGCATGCCCGACTCAACGAAAAAACCGCAACAATGACTACATACATCATTTTAACAATAATTTGGAGAAGGTGATAGGTGCATTTGATAGAATCTCTGAATCTTCCTTTGATTACATTAATATAAATACTGATAGGGGCTTTAAGGTTAGAAACTGACTGATTGGCAGAATGATTGCTGAATCAATCCAATTAAATACTCTTCACAGAATTGAATAATAGTATCCTCTCAGTCAACAACAGATCTTTTCATACCCAAGCAGCCACTCTGGCAACAGACAGATCTCCACAAGCCTTTAACAATACCAGACATTTAAACGACAAGGAAATAACTTCCATTCCAGTAGTGTAATCATCCCAGTGAGTAATGGCCATTACCCACGAGTAGAATACTATACTTTTTCTATGTTTAATAGATAATAGGCATGAGTTATGTGGTTTTTTTATTTAATTTTCGTAAAAAAATTAATTGACAATTCTGACAGCTGGAGGACAAAGTGAGGTTAGGTTAGAATAAGTCTTGCCCAAATCATCTGTCAAAATGACTGATTGGAAGGTTGAAGTATGTTGTCAACTTGTCGAATTTTCTGATTGGCTCTTCAATAGTGAAGTAATGGAACCAGGATATTTTCATTGGTTGAAAACAATTAAGTAATGAAAATAAAACTCACTGTATGAGTAATTATTCACATTGATCAATAGAAAATGGATGTATATTACGCATATTATTCAATACTCATAAAAAAAGATTATTACTGTATATTATACTGAGTTCGTGAAGTCCTGCATAAACTCATTATTTTGAAAATGGTAGAATTTTTGAAAAATCGCTCAGACACGTCAATTTTATTTTTTTGTTTGAAATTTTTTGATATACTTTTTATTATACAGGGTGTCCCAAAAAAAGCTTCGCTGGTATTAACTTTATTTTTTTAAATAGCACCCCCTGTATATTATAACATTTCTGGATTCTGCGGAAAATTCTAGACATATTTCATGTACAGGGTGGGCCAATTTGGAAACTTCCTTATGGAAACACCCTTTATTTTTAGAAATAGAAAAAAATGAACCCCCCACTCTGAGGCTCAAATTTCATGAAATTTTGATTGGTGCAAACCGCTTTTTGATATCTTCAACCGTTTAGCCGCTAGAGGGCGATTCTCGATTTTAAGCAATATTGTGAACCCTTCATAAGTTTTTTGTTAATGAAAATAATTGATTTTCGTAATAACTTTCTGGAAGCACTTTTTAAAACAGAATTCAGGGACGTTCTCAGTTTTTTTCTATTTGGCGCCAATTTTGAGATATTGACCAAAGTCTGATTTTTTTCAATAAGACACCCTTTATATTAATAGCTCATTGCAAAGCTATGATTTTTCTGATTTCAATGATATAAAGTTCGATAGGTATATCTCTAACCGTTTCCGAGAAAAAAAATTATTTCGGTTTTTCTCATAAGAAGAAATGTGTT